ATTCCCCGGAACCCATTATGACCTGTGGGGCACTCTTTGGAGTATTTTTCAAAGTTCGGGCACACAAAGGAAGCCCTGTAATGCGTTTACTTAGAATCTTTAACAAATCATCTATTGCTGCGTAGGTTATATTATGTTTAACAGTCCATTCTGTCAAGTCCTTCCGTAAATCGTTATTTGCATTAATGCAGTCATCCGTATCATCTTCGCTGGAAGAAATGCTGAATTCATCTGGCTCATCAAATGTTCTGCTGCATCCTGGCCTGTCGTGTGGCTCTTCTTCTCCTAGCAACGCTTCACATTCTGGATGCTCATCATCACTTTTACTTTCAAACAGTAAATTTACTATTTGCTCACTCTCACTTCTAAATTTCTTTCTATTCATTTTATTACGTGAAATAATTATATGTATTTACTTTAAATTTTGAAGCGGCACTCAATTTTCTCGAACAGATGCGTTTTTGTCTAAAATAATAGTTATAATCGATAGTCGATAACACAACTTAGCATCGTGCCGACCATTGAATTTGCGTTGTTTCTCTAATCGTTCTCGAATCGAATTCTAATGTAGTTCTCTAACTTCGTCATCGACTCGTGAACGATTAGAGAATTACCCTAGTTATCTAATGTAGAAATCAAAATTTCTCTAACGTCAGAGACCGTGTTTGCTGGGATTGTGCAAATAATCGGATTGGCTTGAAACTTGTTACTCTATGATTTCTAGACTCACCACTGGTCACGAATTTAANCATTTCTAGCAATGCTTAGAATTAAAGAAATAAATATCATATTGAGTAACAACATAAAATATTTTCTTTTGAAAAATAGTTAATTTATGTACAAACATGTATGTATGTATGTATTTTCGTATGTATACCACATAGAAAAGAAAAACAATAAGTACGCTTAATACAGCCTTCAACTGATTTACAAAAACGCCATTATTTTTTTAAAACAAAAATATACTTAACATAAAAATTAAAATTTGCATGCATCTCTTTTTAAATGCTTTAGTTGAAGCGCTCACCAAGGGCTTCTTTGGGATCAGCAAGGAAGCAGTTCTTTCTAATGACACCCGATGTTAAAATACAATGAAGAGTGAAATTAGGAAGGCAGCGCTCACTGCTGAATATGGAAAAAAATTATAATAATTTATTTTGAATTCTGTACCTTATTTTTATTGAAACAATACGAACATGTACATACTTATGTATCTACAGCACAATTTAGAGAACTGATGCAAATGTGAACTGTGTGCATGAACTTAAACTTCCCACAATTATGTACATATGTACACGGTCAAAAATTTGGGTTAAATTTTTAAACCGCGCTGGGACTACTGCCTTTTTTAAACTTTTATAGTCTACTTTTTAAACCAGTCAATAGTTTTACGCAATTTTTAATATATTCTGGTTTAAATTTTAGCCCAAAAAGTTCGTGGTTTAAAAATCAAACCAAAATGTTTTAATTCTAGTTTCTAGGTTTCAAATATAGAAACTTTGGTTTAAAATCTAAACCGAAATAGAATATGTTTGCACAGCGAATTGTGGTGTTGATTCAAACTCAACATATGAAAGCACATTTACATGCGTGGCTGTAGCTGAGTGTGCAAAGATGCTTGATACAATTGGTTGCTACCAAGGCTGTCCGGGTTCAATCCCAACCAGACGGAGCATGAAATTTAAGATTTTTTTTTTTTTTATTCTTAATTATGAAAATGTTTGGGTTTAACATTTAAACCGAATTGTTTAAATTCTAAACCCAACATATGTGCTCTCTTTTTTATAAACTTGGAAGGTTTGTATTTGAAACTGAATTTAGTTTGGTCATATATGTAGTCCAAAAAGTTTAAAATTAAAACCGAAATTTTTAACCGTGTACGTATTTAGCTTCTCGACACGGTGTAGCGAAACAAAGGTGGCGCCGTCAGAGGTACCGCTACTTTGGTTTTGCCGATTTTGACAGTTGTGGTAACTCGTAAATAAACTGTTGTTTACAAATAAGTTGCATAGAGCAATTTGAATTATTAGTGAAAAATCGGTTAAAATCGTGTTATTTTGCAATTTTTTAGCGATTTTTCAGTTGAGGAGTGTGTAAAAACTGATAAAATTAAGTGCCGTGTATTAAATTGCGACAGCCGTCAAGGTAGTGCCTCTGAATGCAGCTATTTTTCCTTTCCTCACAACGATGCTGTGGCGAGAAAGTGGGTGGAATTCTGCAGGCAAGATAAGCCATTCAATTTTGATACCAGCTTCATATGCATGAAGCACTTTACCGACGATGATTATCACAATGTTATGCAGTACAAAGCGGGTAAGTATCATTTACTTTGAATTGCGTAGATATCTAATAAAAGGATTAGGATTGGCTAAACGCCCGTTACTCAGGCGCGATGCGGTGCCATCCATTTCTGTGTGTGCTATACCTGCCGCAGAGTGTCAACCGCACAATATGGAGGTGCTTGAGCTAGGTAGTTGCGAAGGTAGCAAAAATATTACACTCTTAAAATTATATTATTAATCTCAGGGGTTTGTTACAGTGGTTGTAAGTGAAAGCAATACAGAATACCGACCCAAGGACGGTACTCTTGACGCTTCGACATCACCAATTCGTAACTGGGTTTACTATGACGGCGACCTTCAAGAAGTGGAAGTGTTAAAAGCAGAAGTGTACGTTAATAATTTCAAGATCATAATGTGCAAATCAAATCATAACTTATATTTTCTACTTCTTGCAGAGCGACATTGAAGCGCGAAAATGCAATCCTCAAAAAGCAAACCGCTAAGCAGAGACCGAGATCGCTACATTAAAGCGGGAGTCTGACCTTCAGCAGAAGAAGCACGCGTGGGAAGTAGAGTTGTTGAAAAAGAGTTTGGATGCAATGGCTGCCGAAATGGGAAATATAGAAGATAAACTGGCTTCTATATTCACCAAAGGTCAGATAGGCAAACTGAAGACTGGGTCGAAGCGACGAAATTGGGCGGAGGAGGATATTGCACAGTCAATTACATTGTATGCTGCCAGTCCAAAGGCATACAGGCTGCTGTATAAGCAATGTTTTCCCCTCCCTGGAGTTCGCACACTGCAGGCTTAGGCACAAAAAGTGGAGATTTCGCGCGGTCTTATAAACCCAGTCTTCCGCTTGTTGGCAGCCGCTACCCATATGGACGAGACACAGGAACTATGCGTGTTGAGTTTCGACGAAATGAAAGTAATATTATGATGTTTCGTCGGACTCAACATTAGCACCCGTCAACTATGTGCAGGTAGCGATGTTAAGAGGTAAATATTACAGAAAAGGTTTTTTAAATAATATAAAATATTTGTAAAGCCCTTATATATTTCACGTCTCATGGCAAAGTGGAAACAGCCAGTCTTTTATGACTTTGACTGCAAAATGACTTCCGTTTTGCTGCAAAGCATATTGCAGAAGTCGCAAGATTGTGGCTACAATGCAGTGGCTGTCGTATGTGATTTAGGAGGTACCAATAGGTCGCTTTTCAATGATCTCGGCGTAAACGAAGACCAGCCGTTGTAAAATATATGTGAATATATGCACATACATATATGCATATACATATGCACATACATATTTAAACCCTAATATTAAAACGTATGTTAAAATTATACACCATAGACGAATGATTGGTTTGATATTTTAAACGTCAGGGTTCCCCACGCCGACTCCAGGAAGCGGCGTCTTGCATACGGTCTAGCGCTCGAGGAGTAAGACAAGATCCGTGACGAAATGATCAACCTAATAAAATGTATGAGGGTGATTGGCAAATTCAGTCTCCTGCAATTCCAAAAAGGAAAACTAACATGTGTTTCTCAAGATTAATATAAATTTTTTCCATTTCGCCTAAAGGAATCATACAAACGAATTTAGCGTTAAAGTTGATGTTCGAGGATATTAAAACTCGATTTAACATCAAGTATGTGTTAACGTATCGCCTCAACCAGGACGTTCTGGAAAACTTCTATGGAATTATTCGTTCAAAAGGCGGGTTGCATGATCACCCTGACCAGCAGGAATTTAAATACCGTTTGAGGCTCTACTTGCTGGGACACAACAAGGGCGTCTTATCCGACTCTGCTAACGTAGAAGAGGATGATACGCCAGATTTAGAAGTCACTCAGCCGCCTCTTACAAGTACTTTAACATAATTTTTTAACTATTAATTATTATTACTATTAATTATTATTACTATTAATTATAAAAATCTATTGTAGTATTAATGATTACATCCCTAATGTATCGCCATATTTACAGGTATTTTGCTAAAAAACCTGAGTTCTAATAAAGAACTGTGGCCGGTGGAAGAGGCGGAATTCGACGATTTGGAATTTGACGGACTGGAGCATTTAGCCGGGTATATTTTCCACAGTTTAAGGATGATATTCCGAGCACGTCGTTTGGTAGCAATGACAAGTCATGCTCCTGGGCGAGTCACCTAAGCGAAGGTGGGTTGTCAATACCAAGTTCATCTATGATGGACCATATGAGAAATCTAGAGTTAGTGGTTAAAGCAATGAACGAAGATGGCTTGCTCATTACAAATGATTTTGTAAAAACTCACATTGAGCATGCTTCGAAATTTCATTGCGACATTAAAGTGAAAAAATTATTTTTCAAGAATGTTCTTTAAAATAGGAAAATGAAAAATGCCCACAAGAAAAAAAGAAAAATTAAAAAAAATCTGGCTTAGATTCATATGGTACCATTTTAAAATTGTAAGTACGTACTAAAAACATACGGTAAGTTGTCAACTGAAATGTTGTATAAATCTGTAGAAATTAAATGTTCTTTGATTGTAGCATGCAGCAACGTCCGCAGTTCCCGCAAAGTAAGCTCAATGTTTAAGCCGCCTAAAATTATAAGGCATGGATGCGACGTAAGCCTAGGAGTTTAACAAATAATCTGGCATCTTGTATAAAAAAAATATCCATATTTATTTAGTTGCAGGAGAATAACATGAATGAATCAAAGGCCCTTTTCAGGGCGGCCAATTAATTTACAAAGAGACAATTATTTACGCTTTCAAAAGTACAAATTAAATTAGGCCAGCATTTTTGTGTTTACATACATATGTATATGGAAATGTGCAAAAGGCCCTTTTCAGGGCCGCAAATTAAATTAACAAAGAGACAAAAAAATTTGTGTCTACATATTGCTCATTTACTTCAATAGTGTCATAATCTCAATGTCCAATATAATACAAAATCGAGTTAAGTATAGAGAAATTACTGCTAACTGCTCTTCTATGTTGTGTACTTTCATACCTGGAGGGAGACTTTGTAACCAGTTATCGATTCGCAAATTTTTATATAAAAAGTGCAATATTTGAATGAAATTTTGCAGAATTTTCTTTAATTTTTCACAAGGTTTGGAACTTTGATTTTTGGGGGTTTTGTTCTAGAATTAACCATATTTTTATAAAAAATT